AAAAATGAAAAAGGAAGTTCTTATCGATGTCGTTTATACAGAAATATCATTTTGATAGCAGCATTCATAGGGTTGCCTTTATGTATTTATAAATCATACGAACCTTTTCATGTCTCAGGTAGGATATTAAAAACATGGAAAGATGATAAAAAAGGATTTATAATATTTTGGTCTTTATTCTTAATAGATTTAATAGCACTTATTTATTGTATTTATTATTGTTTAACAGATAAAAAAAGTAATAAAGATAATTATTCTGATAATAATCAAGATATTAATAATGTTTAAATTTTATTTTAGGTGATTGCTAGTCTTATTTAGTGTTTATTAAACTTCTTAATTTTATAATTTTATTTATATTTTTTTTATAATTGATTTGAAATTATATTATTGCTGTTAAAGATATCTTAAGACAAAATTTATCATTTTATTTTATATTGTTTAATTTTTTTAATATAAAATTTTTAATCGGTAATTAAAAAATAAGTTATTATTTCTATATTGTTTATGAATTTAAATTTAAAAACACATATCTATAGTCAAAGGTTAAATTTAAATAATGATAATCAATTGACATTTTGTTTTAATTAATAGATGCCAAAAAAATTTATTTCAATAATTATATAAAAGATAATTAAACAACTATATTGTTTTAAATATAAAACTATTCAAAAAAATCACTTTCAAATTAAAAAATGGCATTGAAAACTATATTTATTATAAATAATCAATGTTAAAAAATTAAATTTACTTTTATAAGCATTAATTTTTTAATATGGAAGTTTTTTATTTTCTAACGCGATAAATATACAGTCATAATTTTTCTTATGAAGATTTAAATCTTTTTTTATAATAATATTTTGATTTAAAATAATATAAGGAAATTACTGACTCAAATAAATACAGTGATGGAACACAAAATTGAGATACTAAAAAAACAATATATAAACTATTAAAAAATTCATATTTTTATAAGCAAATAATATTAAAATATATCTATTTTGGATATTTATAATTTAAAATAAATAAAATTGATAGGTGGAATAGAAATTTTATAAATTAAAAAAAAATTATACTTTTAAATTTGATATAATGTAATTTTTCCTTTAGATTTATATAATTGCACAATTCTCTTAGGTACAGGATTTACTAAATTTTTACACATCACTCGAGGTATTTTAAACCATTCACCAACGACAAATTCTTTTAATTCTTTTTAACCTTTTAGTTTGCGTTTATATACCTGTATCTTAAAGTAACACTATAAATTTTCTATGAAATTTATGTTTGAGCTTTAAGATAATGAATTTAATACTTCTACATTATATTTATTAAAGAATTCATATGTTAAAGTAACTTTAGGTTTAAGATCGTTATCTTGTTGAGAAATACAATTATCACTAATTTCTAATTCATCTATTGTCTTAAATAAACTTACATTTAAAAATTAGTATATTTTCTATTCTCCACACTCCTTCATAGGAGAAACATCATCATACCATAATAATTCTTTTATCATGTTTTACAATCGATATCGTAATTTTTTCTACACTTCTTTAACCTCTTGGTTTGCGTATATAAACTATGTCATCAAACTCAAATAGATTTATTTTAGTTTCATCTGACAATAAAACCTTTTTCAAGTAGGTTATAAAAACCAATGAATGTTCTTTAAAATATTTAAATCTATAAATAATGTTTTTACTGTTAAGAACAGGAGTTTTAAAGGTCTATATACACTTAAATTAGCTTTTACAAGATATTTTAATACATTTATGAGAAAATGATTTATATTAAATTAACTGTAAATCTCTTCAACAATCTTTTTTGATCCAAATTTTTCAAAATTTTTTACTTTTTTCTTTATTAATTTTATTTAAGAATCTTTTAAATCTTTTAATCTTCCATATCCTTTCTTACGATTTATATCTGCATACATTAAAATTTTTTTTAATTTGATTTGCTTATTGAGCTTTTTCTCATAATATCTTGTTTTGTCATTTTAACTTCATAATATCCAATTATTTAAACCTTTTCAGTATCCGAAAGTGTTTAACTATATAATAAAAGAATATTAGCTAATTTTCTTAGTGTTTTTGGAGAGAGAATTAAAAAAAATTAAAGGCTCTATTTTTTTATTTTTATAAAATTTCTATTATACCTTTAATTTTATTCATTTTTAACCAGAAAATGTAAGATGGTTGTGGTTTAATATTTTTGCTTATGAAAATATGAATCTTTTATAGTTCTGTTGAAAATTGAATTTTACTAATTAGACATTTAAAATTTATTGATTCTATTTTTAAGAAAAATTTTTAAATAACTATATTATTTTATGATAAGTAAAAAATACACCAAGCAATTAATAAATTTTATAGGGAATTTAAGACTAAGAGTTCATTTACATGTCACTTGTCTGCAGTTGGGTTACCTTCGGAGTACTTCACAATTATACATCTTTTAATAAAAATAATATTTTTAAACAAAAATTTATTATTTTAAATAACTTTTTTAATTAAAATTTTCATAATAAATTCTAAAAAAATCATTTTAATGTTAAAAATTCTAAAATATTTTAAAATAATTAATTAATAACTGATTAAATAAAAATTTAAAGAGTATTTTAAATTATTAAAAAATATTATAATTAAATTATAAACATAGTGAATTTAAAACAAAATTTGAAATAATTTGTGTTAAAAGTTAAATAAGAAATTAAAAACTCTTTATAAATTTTATTTTTAATTTTTTCAACTAAAATTAAATATCAATGAAGGATTTGATAGAGAAGAAAGAATATATAGAAAATCAAATAAATGAACTT